CTTGAAATCCCTGGTGATTACATCCACACCCTGCCTGGCTATGTCATTTGTGTCCACATGGATCATGCTCCACTCTATCCTTCACATGCACACTCTATCCTTCTGTCCTGCCATCTCTTCCTGCTGGTGGTGGGCAGCCGTGCCCTGGCCCTGGCCTCTCCTGCAGCAGCCCCCTTGCCGCTTGTGGTCCCAGGCTGGGGGTCCTACTGGTCCTCCAAGGCCTCATCAGCCCTAGCCTCCTCAAGAAGAGAGAACCTGTTTCCCAGCTCCAGATTGGTCCCAGGAGAAGGAGGAGGCCGTGCTGGCCTCCAGCTCCTGTGGGTGACATGCCTCCATGTCTCCCCAGCTGTTCCTCCCATGGCCCCTCCCTCAACCCTCTGTCCAGAGGGGTGCTGCTCCCGGGGGGGGCTGGACAGCTCTCTCGGCCCTCAGGCACCTCACCTCCTCCTCTAGAAGGGTCACCAGCTTGCACTGAGGGCAAGTGTATCCCTGCCTCTCCTGGAGGAGAAGGGTGAACATGTCGCAGCTGTTGCAGCAGACAGCAACACCCGTGATTCCCGCCAAGGCCATCTCCTGGTCTGCCATTGGGAACCCTTCAGAGACCCTACCTTGGTTCCCTGCCTTGTCTGTCCTGGACTACCCCTCACTCGCCCAGTTCTCCCGGACAAACACACACACACACACACAGATAAAATAAAAAATTAAATTGGGGGAAAAACAAAACAAAAAAACCTGCCCCAGGGAAGGGAGTCCCTGGACAGCCCAGGCTGCAGCTAAGGGACACAGACAAGGGATGTTGGCACTGCCAACGGCTGAGCACGGCCTTATAAGCCTCTTAGGTTGGTGGTGCCACCCCTCTGCTTCCTCCTGGCCCCTCTAGCTTCTCTGGACCCGCCTCCCTTCCTCTCCACTGCTCCTGTCCCTCTGCTCCTCTGCCCTGCTCCTACCTTGCCTTCACCGGTCCCCTGGCCACCCTCAGCACTCTCTCCCAGCCTCTGCCTCTGCTGCTCCACTACTCTGCCAAAGGCTCTCCATCTTTGGCTGCAGAGTACATAGTCAATCTGATTTCTGTGCTGGCCATCTGGTGATGTCCATGTGTAGAGTAGTCTCTTGGGTTGGTGGAAAAGAGTGCTTGCTATGACCAGCGTGTTCTCTTGACAAAATTCTGCCAGCCTTTGCCTTGCTTCATTTTGTACTCCAAACCTGCCTGTTATTCCGGTTATCTTTTGGCTTCCTACTTTAGCATTCCAATCTCCCATGATGATAGAGACATCATTTTTGGGTGTTAATTCTAGAAGGTGTTGTAGGCCTTCATAGAACTGGTCAACTTCAGCCTCTTCAGCATCAGTGGTTAGGACATAGACTTGGACTACTGTGATGTTGAATGGTTTGCCTTGGATTCGAATTGAGATCATTCTGTTATTTTGGAGATTGTATCCCTGCTTTTCTTACTCTTTTATTGACTATGAAGGCTACTCATTTCTTTTGAGGGATTCTTGCCTGCAGTAATACCTGCAGCATAGCAGCTGCTAAAGCCCAAAATAGTCCTGGCGTGTACCTGGTTGCTCTGTCATGCCCTTCCTCCTTTTTTACTCTAGCCTAGGCATAAAGCTCTCTTGATCTGGAGGGAAGGGGCAAAGGAAGCCACATGGGCAGTGACTCTCCAAGCTTCACGGCTGTGGCTTGGTGTGGCTGCCTCTTCCTGCACCAGATGTCAGGCTGCTCGGAGAACGATGCCATGTTTCTGGCGGGGCTGGGGCAGAGGACAGGCATGGTTGGGCATCTATCAGGGATCCAAATGCCAGCAGGAGCCCACTCGCAAGAGCCCCTGCACTTGCTCCTACTCTGCACCACTGCAGGCTGCTTGCTTGTCTCCCTCTTGTTCTGGACCAGATGGTGGTGGTGAGAAAGAGCAGCAGGAGAAACTACTAGCTCCCTGACAAGGAAGTAAGTGGTAGTAGTGATGAGAGAGGGAGAGAAACCCCATTGAGGGTGTCTTGCCCAAGGCCCCTCAAAAACGGATTGCTGGCACTGTTTGTGGGAAACTAAAATGCCAGCTAGCAGGTTGCCAGACTCTCAAAGAGCAGGGAACAAACAAACACATAGTAGGGCCCAGGGCATGCATCTACCTACACCAAACTTTTGGTGACTTCCTGGCTTCTGTGCTGTTTTTCCCGTTTTAAAAGATTGCAATGTCTTTCCTTAGCTACTGGCAGTGGGAGCTTTAAACTAAACTGTGTTGGCATGTGAGGCTTTTTGCCTTTGGCCCCACCCACCAGTAAAATGCAGGCCCTGGCAGCTACTCACTCATGGAGGGCTGGCTTCCTGTGTCCTGCTCGAGCTCATCTTCCTCAATACAGGTTCCAACATCATATGACCAGTGGTAGAAGGGTGGCCCAATCAAGCTCGGATGTGATGGGGTAGAATATACATGCAAGTTTAGTGAACCAAGGATGGAAGAGGAGGACTGGCTGCTCGAGGATGATGTACTGCTGTTTGAAATGGTGGAATGTGGCCTCTTAGAAGGTGCAGAATGGTCAAATGAAGAAACAGCAATTGAGGCCCGAGTCCTTGACTCTGGAGAAACAAACACATCCCCTCTGTTAACACTGAGAACACTCATCAAAAAAGGACAGAAAGCATAAAGGGACATGGTGAAAGACAATGGGGTGCAGCCATAGTGGTACTAGGTTAGGGAAGTCTGCTATAAGGCAAAGGCAAATGGTAGTACTGGTTTATTGTTTATGGTCTGCCAACTGCAGATGCACAGAATAAACATGTACAAAGGTAAACTCTGCATTGAAAACAAAGATAAAAGTTTAAAAGAATAATGAAACTGTCACAAAGTGTCTAATCTGGGTGGCTATATTTAAAATTTCAGGGAAGTGAAGAATGTTCAAATAAAATAATCAGCAAAGACTTCAAGAATCTTCCTGGAAAGGGTTGTGTCATAGCAGAAATCAGTGTCTCTAGCCCTTTGATTAAAAGAAATACACTTGAGGAGCTCTTGCAACCCAGACTCCACTTCTTCACTGTTGCAGATGCAACATGCCCTGGATTTTTAAAATATCCACTATCTAGAAGATTAGAGTGTACAGCATTGCACTGGGCCAAAGAAAAAGATGGATAAACACAACCATTTTAAGTAAGGCATCCCATTTTTGACCTTTGGGCTGGCAAATTCAGCAATCAGTCAAAGCATGGACCCTGTACTACTCTTACAGATCTTAAAAATCAATATCCTTTAGCCTTTGTAAAATAAAGGAAAAGCATAGCGTACTTACAAGGACTCAATATAACAGGGGTGCAGAGCTTCAGACTTAGAGATAAGTCTGCCCCCCAGGGAGGCAAATCCAGCAGCCTAGCGCTCCTGAGATGGCCATTCCTTCTTATCTTGGTCAAACCTTTTCTGCCCTAGCCACTGTTCTTTTGCTGGCTTCTTAGCTTTTGTGCAGTTTTTTTCTTATTCTGAAAGCTTGAAACACCCCCCTTCTGGCTTAGTAACTGGCTCTAAGAGCTTTAGGCTAAACTATGCTGTCATATGGGGCCTTTTCCCACTGAAATGCAGGTCCTCAGAGCTTCTTTAAAATGTAATTGGGCCCTCAGACTGAAGCAAGTTCAACTGTCTTGAAGGTACTTTCAAAGACCCACTTTAGATAAGCTCGGATTAATAAGCTGCTTACTCAGAGAAGCTGAAAATGCTTGCTCCTGTGTACTTTTGTATGGCCAGACTCACAATTAATTGGCCTGGCATGCTGTTCTTATCCACTAATTGTGTCATAATGTATATGGCATAAAGACTGCTGGATTATAACTGCACATTTGGCTGGGCCAATGTTAATTCTTGAAGGCAAGACTGAATAATATTTTAATTATAAATCTTGCACAATAGCTTGTGGCTATGAAGCCTTCGCTCATGAGAGTTGATGAATGACCAAGTGTGCTTCCAGACAGAGAGAGGGCTCCTAGGGTCAGAAGCCTCATGTAGCAATTCATCCTATTGCATGTCCCTTAGCCGTGGTAAATAAAAGGGGGAAAAGAAACATTGGGAAAACGGGGGAGCATTACAAGTAATCCAGACCCTGTAAATGTGAATGTGGCAGAGTGAGGGCACCCTAAAAATCTTGTCTGGGAGCACCCCAAAGGGGGCTGATGTTCCACCTACCACTTCAGCTGGGGCAAGACATGAAGTGCCTGAGAAAGGAGGAGACTGACCAGGAATGGCAGTGGCTGAGTGGGGGAGTGCAGACTTTACATGCAGAAATCCCCAGGTCTAGCCCCTGGTTTCTCTTGAGAGGGCTGGGGTGGCAGTGTGTGTGCAAGGAACTCTCTCTGGGAACCTGTACAACTGTTGCCACTGAGTGGTGAACTAAATTAAGCAATGACTTGACTCAGTAAAGGGCAGCTTCTGGTGCTACTTCCCTTCCAAGGATCCCACCCTGTGCAAAGTGGAAAATTCTCCTTTTCTCCAAGACATGTGCCAGAGAAGGGACAAAGGGAGGAATATGATCCCTGCTCCTTTCTCTGTAAGTCTTCCAAAGAATGAGCAAGCAGCACAGTTCCTTCTGTTCTCAGGCACCCATGCAGCATGACAGAATTCTCCAGAGCAGAAGGAGCTAGCTTGGATGTACCCAAGGGCTTGGAAATGCTTAGTTCAGCTTTCCTCAACCTGGTACCCTCTCGATGTTTTTGGATTGGAACACTCACTGACTGCAACTAATGGGCAGGGATGATGAGAATTATAGTCTAAATTTAGCTGGAGATCTCCAGGTTGGGGAAGGCTTGCCTAATGTGATCTTCATTGCTCATAGAGAATACACAACCCTTCCAAAGCAGTTGCCTTGAGGCACACAGCGAAACACTCGTCCAGGATTGCCTCCAGCATGCAGAACTAGCTGCAAAGGTTTCTTTTTGCATCTAGGAGAAATCCAGTAACGTAATGTTAATAAGAAGCAAACAAAATACTTAAGCATCTCCAAGGGATGAGCACCAAACTGTACCTGTTCCTCTCATTATATAATCTATTGCTCGATCACTTATGGCTGCATCACTGGGCTTGATATCCATGAATGGTTTATTCCCTATGCCCATAGACACCATTTCTTGGATTCGAAGTTCTGAGAACAAGTAAACCAAAACCACAAGAGAAAGAATAATCAATGCTTCCTTCTATAAGTCTAAGGGAAGCCAAAACTGGTGCAAAGTTCAGTGCTTTTAATGCACACAATAATGCAAAAGTTACATTACTTGTTCCAGCTGTCAACATTGTTCAGCTTTGATGGTTTGTATGGGGTTAACATTTCTTTTTCCATTTCAGCATTAAGACTTTTGATGCAAACTTTATTTTGTACATAAGAAAGCATGTCACACCAACAGAATTGTGCCTCTCTGTGTGTATAATGTGTGTGGGTGTTTTTTGGGTGAGAACAGAACACTGAGTCTGCCTTGAGTGTTCCTTCTACATGAAGATGGGTGGGCATCCTGCAAATGGGTTTGGGAGGCAAGGCTAAAGTTCTTTCATCATCAAGTGGGGAGAAATCCCTTCAGTGAGGCAAGCCAAAACAACTATTAAATGTTCCGAAAAAGTGCGGAGAAACACCCAACTGGGCACCAACTCTGGAAACAGTGAGTGAAATCCAGGGTTGTCAAGTTGAAAGCCTGCTCATGTGAAGGGACTTTCTTCTCTCTTCACCCTGGCTTGGTGAGTTCTGCAGCAACTTTGAGGGTGTATAGGAGCTGTAGTAGGATACAGAATGTCCCATCAGCATAACTTTCTATGACCATATACTCAGTAGTTACCAGTTATCACAACAGAGAAATGAATGCTTGCAGGTGCAATATCGCATTGCCATCCCTTGCTGCCTGAATCAAGTTCTTCAAGATCTCCTCTACCATCCATAGGCAAGTTGTCCGGATACCTAAATTCTCTCTGTGTTGAGCACTGGCATTTTTGATACAAAAGCAAAGAAAGGATAGGGAAGGGAACAGAAGGAAAATCCAGCTAATGAAAGAAATTGAAAGGCCACAAACCTCATTCTGGTAGACCATCTCCAATAAAGTATAATCAAATAGTTTAGGTAGGACCTGTTATCACATAATTTCAATGGATTCAAGGCCAAGATCTGCCAAGACCCATGCACATATACACTTTGGTGAAGAGGAGGATGGCTGCCAATTTTTTCTTCCTGCCCATCCCTTGCTTCTCATGGAATGCTGCCACATCTTTATTTTTGCTATTGTTGGAGAAGTATAGAAACATAGAAACAGAGCGAGTCAGAAGGGGCCTCCCGGGTCATCTAGTCTGACCTCTGACACCAGCCAGCTGCGCTCACGACATGCCTACCATGTGGACGTCCAGCCTATCCTTGAACACCCGCACCGATGGGGCCTCAACGACCTCTCATGGAAACCTATTCCACACCCTCGGGGTCCTGACTGTCAGGAAGTGCTTCCTGGCATCCAAATGGAACCTTGGCTCCCTGAGCTTTGCTCCAATGGAGCATGTCCTGCCTTCCTCTGCAGGGGAGAACAGGTCTTTACCAATCTCCATGTGACATCCCCTCACATACCTGTATGTCGACAACATATCCCCAAAACTGAACACAATACTCCAGTTACGGATGCACCAGAGTCATGTAGAGTGGTAGTAATACCTCTCTTGATCCTAGAAGCCACACTTCTGGCTATGCAACCAAGGGTGGCGTTCACCCTCTTGACCACTGCATCACACTGCTGACTCATGTTTAGCCTGCAGTCAACCAGTACCCCGAGGTCCCTTTCACAAGTGCTGCTCTCCAGCCACTTGTCACCTAACCTGTACTTATGACAGCTATTCCTATGCCCCAAGTGCAACACCTTGCACTTATCCACATTGAACGCCATCCTCTTGTCTCCTGCCCACTTCCATAGTCTGTCCAGATCCTTTTGGATCTGGAGTACCTGCTCCTCAGTTGTGGCCACTGCTCCAGTTTTAGTGTCATCTGCGAATTTGATCTGCAGACTGTTCACCCCTTCTTCCATGTCGTTAATGAAAAGATTAAACAGGATCGGCCCCAGGACAGAGCCCTGGGGGACCCCGCTTGTCACTGGCCACCATCCCAATGATTCCCCGTTAATGGTTACCTTCTGCTTTCGGTCAGTCAACCATGCCCTAATCCACCGGACAGTGCTTTGGTGTATCCCAAAACTCCTCAGGTTCTCCACCAGGATATCATGGGGCACTTTGTCAAAGGCCTTGCTGAAATCCAGGTATACCACATCCACTGCATCCCCTCCATCCCCATGCCCTTTCTACTACCCTTTTTGAAAATTGGGACCACTGATGCCACCCTCCAGTCCTCTGGAACTTCACCTGTTCTCCACGAGGTCTCAAAAATGGAGGTCAGCGGGTGTGAGAGAACCCCTGCCAACTCTCTAAGTACTCTCAGGTGTAACCCATCAGGGCCTGGTGCCTTTGTAATGTCCAATGCCCTGAGGAGCCCCTCGACTTCAAGGGGGGTGACACTAATCTGTGCCCCTAAGTCCCAAGCCTCATCTAATCTCCTATGAGGATCTCCCCCATCCAGCTTTGGGGAGAACACAGAGGCAAAATAGTCATTTAGCATCTGTGCCTGTTCCCTCATATCAGTCACTGGATCTCCTTCCTCCTTATTTAGTGGTCCCACCACTTGTCTCCCCTTCCTCTTCCTATTTACATGCTGAAAGAAGCCCTTTTTGTTGCTCTTGACATTCTTGCAAGTCTCAGCACGTAATCAGCCTTAGCCTTGCGAAAAATCCTTCTGCAATGGGCCTCCTCCTCCCGGTATACCCTTTTGTCTATTTGCCCCAGTACCCATTTCCTACGAAGGGTCCTCTTTCATCTAATCCCTGTAACCACCTCCTTTTGCATCCATGGTGGCACTCTCCTCCGCCTCCCCACCTTACTGACTAGAGGTATCGTCAAGGCTTGCGCCTCCAAAACCTCCCTTTTGAGTGCCATCCACCCCTCCTCAACTCACTTACCTTCCAGTAACCTATCCCAGGAGACTTTCCCCAATCTGGCCTTCAGTTGACCAAAGTTGGCCCTCTTGAAGTCCCAGCTTCTAGTGCTCCACCTGCTGCACATCCCCAGTCCCCTGATCTCAAAGCAAAGGATGGAATGATTACTCGCACCCAGAGCTCCCCTAATCTGTACTTCATCTATCAGCTCCTCCCTATTGGTCAAGACCAAGTCAAGGATGTTTCCCCCCCTCGTAGCCT